CATATTCAGAACAATATAAACGCCTAGTAACGATGTATGAACGAGAGTTCTCGTAAAATGCGCGCACGCAAAATGCGCGACGCTTCCCGTCGAAGTGACTCATAGTGACTAAAACTCCATGAGCCCGCCTACCCAACGATGCAGGCTCCCCCCGCCCGCGCACTTTCTACCCCGCGAAAAAAGATGATGCAATATGCACGTTCTATTGCGCCACCCTGTATAATCTATACAAATAAATAAAATTGGAGTGTCTGTTTGTAATATTAAAATAACCGCTTTTTACTAAATGCATATGTATGCTTACATGGTACATATGCCAAAATAACATTTTTTACAATTTTTGTCTGTCTGTCTGTCTGTTTGTTCCGGGTAATCTCTGGAACGGCTGGACCGATTTCGACGGGACTTTCACTGGCAGATAGCTGATGACATAAGGAGTAACTTAGGTTTTTTTTAGACTAGCTTAGCCTCGCGGCGTTGCCCGCGGTTATAACAACAAACGCGGGTAACACCGCGGGTCTCAGCTAGTTGGGACTAAAATTGTAAACAGTTAGCAAAATGTTGGCCACCACCTTGTCACTCGATGTCCATTCATTGTCGACGGGTGGTCCACGGGTGGACGCCGTCTTGTTAACCAGAAAGCTTTTATACGCCTCTGCCTGATGCTTTGAAGATTAAGGCGTTAGTGTATTTTCATGTTATAGTGTAAGTAAAATGTGTGATAACTTAAGCCATCTATTACTTTGTAAAACTTTGTACTGATATTTCTTGAAAGTTTTTAACAATGTTGTGTGAAAACCACAAATAATCACATTTCTACTGTGTTATCGACGGTCCTAACTACTTTGCCTACTGGCCGATGTGGTTGGTTATCGCAACCAATAGTAGTCTATAATTAAATCAGTATACTCATGTCTTTTGTTCAAAAAAAAAGAATAAAGTTCACGATTTGTTTTTGACGTGACAACGTCTTATAATTCGATGGAGCCGGCTGCACGTTCGAAAAAACATGACTCATGCGGCGTTACCTCGCTCTGAGGCGTTCCATTTAAGGATTGAAGTGCAAGCGAGAGCGCGGAACGAGCGACAAAGAGGCACAATCGGCCTCCGCGTTCGGCAGCGTTCGACATCTGTCTCTCTCCTACTTGAGTGAATTTTCTTTTGAAAAATCCAACCATTCGATTAGTATTTTCTTATGACGTTGTCACGTTCAACTATCGTCAGTAAACCGACTTTACAGACAACCGATTTTTTTACAGGGACACGACGCTGGTATCTTCCAGGTTCCCAGCCCCTGATCTACAAAAAATCGGATAATAAAAAAAATGCACTGTCATGTCTCTGGAGTTCAAATGTCCATAGGTGAATGTAGTCACTTGCACGATCAGTCCAAACTTTTTCTTCTGTACATACTATACTAAAAAAAAACTATTTTTATGTTATTTTAATTGCATAGTGCAATTCTTAAAGCATTTGATTTTTCAAGTATCCATAAAACCTACTTTGGTACTTCCTAATTCCAATTCACTCATCCTCTGCAGCAGATGTTTCATACACATACCAAAACCTTATCTATTTTATTAAATTGAACTAATTAATATGTACAAACAAACACATTCGTAACTATTATATCTGATTTAAATAGGTTTATCTTAATTACAATACTTAGTCTAATTGGATCCAATCTCAATACTCTTAACACATTAGTTCATAAAGTCCCTTATAGGGCTGAGAGCTTAGTGTAGTTAGTGACCCTGACTGCTAATTCAGAGGTTGTGGGTTCGATTCCCACCCAGGACAAATATTGTGTGATGAGCACGGTCATTTGTTCTATGTCTGGGTGTAATTTATCTATAATCTGTATGTATTTAAAAATATATAAGTATGTTTATCAGCAGTCTGGTTACCATAGTACAGGCTCTGCCTAGTTTGGGATCAGACGGCCGTGTGTGAGATGTGTGAGATATTATATTATTATTATATTTGTAAATAAATACTACGCAGGACAACAGCACTACAGAGAGAAGGAAAACTTGACACAAACCCTATACCAACCCGTCTGGCCAGCGTGGTGTAGTAGGCCAAAACCTCCTTTGTAAGGAGAGGCCTATGTCCAGCAGTGGACTAGTAAAGGCTGTTGATGATGATGATGAAATAAATAAAGTGCTTCTACAGGGTGCAAGTAGCTGGAATGGGCAAAGACGCAGATTACTTGCGTAAGCAGCATGCACGAGTTACTTGAACGTTTGATTGATATAATATGCATGCTGCTCGCACTGGTTGGTGGTTGATTTGACAGAGTTTAGTACCAGGGTGCTTGTCCACGGTGCAAGTAGATGTCTGTATCTGCACAAGTAACCGAATTGCTGGACCCGCATAATCCTTTTCACCAAGCAAATAACCTGCACAAGTGTCTCAACATGTACAAGCTACTTCCATAGTGTAGAAGCACCCTTAGACTACCCCAGAAGGAGAGCTATGTTTTATTATTATTATTCAATTATAGACGAGCAGCTTATGGCTGATGTGTCTATAATTGAATAATAATAATAAGTATATAAAGTAGTGCAGTGACTCGGAACTTCAAAAGTATGACATAGACACTGTCATACTTCTGAAGTTCCAAGTCACTGCACTACTTTGTTCTGGAGTTACACAGTTTATTAGTCCTTCACCATTGGTGAAGTCCACTTTTAAAACGATTTACCAAGGTAGCAGTCACAACATCATTTCGTAGTAAGTTCCTGGTAAGAACTGCAATGTTACTGAGAAAGTGTCGTGTAGTGTTTGTATTTGCTGGGGGGAACGGACTATTCTCATGTTATGACCTCGGGCTGACTTAGTAGGCACTTTTGATGTGTTTATTTTGTGCATATCTGGTAAATTATATTGTTGGGAAACGATTTTGTATGACACTGAGTTTATTCCAATTATAAAAATTAAAATCATTTATACGTTTTCAGTGCCTATAGCAATTTTATGCAGTCATTTTTCATGGTGTTTTCAAAAATAAGGAGCAAATCCACAGTCTGCACTTTCTGTTTGTATATTCATATTATAAAATAACCATTTAAGATTGGTTGATGTCCCTAGCCTGGTGGCTTCTGATGGTATACGGACTGGCTTTTTCAAGCTTTTACTTTCTTGACCCCATTTCATTATATAAGACTTACAGTATCCCTTACAGTAATTTAAAAAACTACCGGATGGCAGTAATGGTTTGTGTTATGGACTGCCACACCAAAGGTCACCGGTCACCAATCAATTTGTGTGCATGAACATTTCATGTTTAATTTGGTCTGGCTGTGTCTAATTATTATTATTTACAAAAAAGAAAGGTATATAGGTATTTAGTTATATGTGTTTAAATCAGTTGTATAGTAGTACAAGCTCTGCTTGGTTTGAGACTAGATGGCGTTGTGTGAATGTGGTAGCATATTATTATATTATAATTATAGTTTAAGAAAATTACAAATTCCCAAGATCATAAATATTAGAGGTTAATTACTAAAAAAAACCCTGCTGCGCTTTACTGTAGAACATTGTGATTTATTAATGAGAACAGAGCAACAAAAGCAAGTTGTATATGTTGGAAAAAAAAGTATATATGTATTTATATCAGTCGTCTAGTACCGATGGTAAAAGCTCTGCTTAGTTTGGGACTAGATGATGTTGTGTGAATGTGGTAGAATATTATTATTAATCAAGCCCAATCGGTGCAGAACATGAGTTTTTGTAACATACACAAATCAACTTAACATTTTAATATATATCATCATCATTATCAACAGCCTTTACTAGTCCACTGCTTTACATATGCCTTTCCTTAAAAAGGAGGTTTTGGCCTACTATACCACACTGGCCAGACAGGTTGGTTGGCAGACCCACGGGATGAACAGGGGTGGTGATACCCTGTATTCTTAATCCGTCACCACACAGATTTATATACCTAGATAAAGATAATAGCTTGAGACACCTTACATTTAAACATTCCATCTTAAACAAGGCAGAGGTTGCACTATAGCAAGTAGATACTGATAACCATACTTATACAAGTACTACACACATGCATATTATAGATCAATTACACACAGACACAAAACAAGCAATCAAGCTTATCAAACAATTAATGGTTCTGAGTGGATATTGAACCCACTGCCACTGGCTCAGCAATCAGTATTACTAACCCATAGACAAACAGACTTTCCAATCATTAAAAGGTATAAAAAAGAAACACATTTAAATAGGAAGTATTTTTTTTTGCTTCTGATTGTTTTGTTTGTAAACTAGTTGAACATACAAAGATTCTAATTGGAATATCCTGTAATCATTTTGTCTAACTGATCAAAGAATACCATTGAGTGATATACATTGCATAATATATAGATTTTCAAGATCCAGAAACTTCTTTTGATAAAGATAAAAAAAAAACAAGTTGACAACTCTGCTGTCATTTTCTAAAATGGGCTATACTTACACTACTTTTTTTTTTGCAAAAGTATCCTGGCATAAAGCCAAAATTAGGTTAATAGATAAATGTATTAGGTCAATCAGTATTTTCTAGATTTCAGTCATAAATTATTTAATTTCTTTTAAGTTATGCAATGTAATTAAGTATTGACTTAATAATTGGCCCACTAATGTCATGCAGTACAACCCATGCTCATTATCAACACAAATTGCATTAACTATGCAATTATCTATGCATAGGTATTTATAACTTTGTTTACACTATGAACAGAGAAGTTCCTTGAACAATCTCTACTATAATTAAATTACACAGTAGAGGTACATGTTCTGGATTTATTTTCTTACCACAGTGAAGCTGGAGTTTTGATTACTTTCAAGTAGGTACCTAACTTTAGTTATCAAGCTAGTGTCGTAAGTTACGACGCACAAACACCGTATCCTTTGTCGAACGTGGATGACGCACGGTCATCAAGCCTCTCTGTTAACAACACAATATAGTTGTGTAATACACAAATACAAGTACCACTCACCTTCTACCCTGAATATCTTGGACTTAATGGCAAATATAGTGTCCGTAGGCAACACGGTCATTTCAAACGCAGTTCCAGTGAGGGTCTCCACAAGAACCTCCATCGTAGGCTGACTAGGTCCATCATCTGTGTACCCTTTGGATCTATTCGACAGTCTTTCTGGGCATCCATGTTGTGACATTTCACACGCGGTACACAACAATTGACTATCTGCACAACATCGCAATTCACAGAAATGTTTTCACAAACGTAAAATAAGACACGGGGCACTCGGCACAACCACACGATGACGGAAATTAGTTATATTTACAGTTACGGCCAAACATTAAACATATTTGGTATTATAGTTTTAATAACGCAAAACGGTAAAACAAGTAAATTTTTTACAAAGCTTATTATTTTGCAACAAAAATAATATTACAGTGAAATAAATTCTGCGTGACAGACGATTTTTTTTTTCTGTTGATTGATGGTGAATGAACGAGTGAGTCACTCGATCACTCGGAACGTGGAATTCCGTGTTGTCTATGAAATACTACTTTCTTTTCAAAAACCTGTCTGCCAACACAAAATATTTACAAAAAAATATATAATTTTAAAAATTATGATAAAAACGTGTAATAATTTCGATTTTGACTTTCTCCTTGAAAAGTAAATGATGAATGAAAACAGAATTTCATTTTAAATTATTTTTTGAAATTTAAAATGTAGCAACACTTCCGTTGAATGGTAGGAAATCGTTCAGTGTCATTGAGTCAGTCTCTTGTCTATGAAAAAAAATCCTTTTCCGTCGTTTTACGTTCACCGTATCGGAGGTTAGAAACATGGTGCGTAAAGTTTTTTAATTAAAATATAAGAAAATCTGCCAATTTAATAAAAACTGAACAGCAATAAGTTAACAAGTGATCCAGATAGTTATTTTGAGTTCCACTTTTGTGTATTTGTGTTCGCTCAAAAGGCACGCGTCACCGTTGTTCTGTAGAACATGTGGCCTTTACAGTGTCTAATTTTTGTTTCCAGACTCGTAAACGCCGCAATGGAGGACGCGCCAAGCACGGCCGTGGCCACGTCAAGGCTGTAAGGTGCACCAACTGCGCGCGATGCGTGCCAAAAGACAAGGCTATCAAAAAGTTTGTGATTAGGAATATTGTCGAAGCGGCAGCCGTCAGGGACATCAATGAAGCCTCCGTATATGCCTGTAAGTACTAATCTTCACTGTTTTAAGTATAAGTATAAGTAATTACCATACATTTTGTTTTGTGGAAAATCAACAAAATTGATTCATAACCTATAAACAAATAGTAAATTTATCAAATTCTGACTGATTCTGTAGCCCGAGTTCTATCCTTTCCAGTCATCATTGTTTTATTAAAATTTAATGCTGACTACATGCTTTTGTACATATCCTAGCAGTACCTTTTTTTATTTATATGCTTTTAGGTGCCCTATTCAGATACTAGTAGTAGGCCTGGGACATTTATTCTACACTAGGATGCCAAAGTTGCCTAGGTTGTGGGTGACTGATTGAGAATACAGAGTGTCACCACCCCTATTCATCCCGTGGGTGTCGTAAGAGCCGACTAAGGGAAAAAACTACGCAGAACAACAGCACTGCAGAGAGAAGGAAAACTTGACACAAACCCTATACCAACCCGTCTGGCCAGCGTGGTATAGTAGGCTAAAACCTCCTTTCTAAGGAGAGGCTTATGTCCAGCAGTGGACTGTTAAAGGCTGTTGATGATGATGATGAGGTTGCCAAAAATAGATAAAAGCCATCTTTGAAGCTAAAAGTTGTATTGTTGTATAAAGTGTCAGAGCTCAATTAGTGCAGACATTCGAGGTTACACAAAGTGTACACAAACCAACTAAACATTTTTATATTAATATAGATCTATAGAAGTAGTAAAGGGGGTGAAATCAGTATTCTCTAGCTCTAACATGTCTTCATTGTACTTGTCCACAATCTGGATTGAAAAAAAAAAAAACTACATCTACTAATCCAACATGAGCGCCAGAATCTCTATGTAATCTGAAGATTGGAATGATAAGGATAGACTTCAAGTGGTGGTTAAGTGTAAACCATAATTTATATTATAAACCAGTATAACTAAAAATATCATATAGACTTTTTATACTGCGATAAGTTAACAGGTATACTGGGCAACTGTTGCTCTTTGTAGCTACTTCATGTAATTTGAAATACATAAAACCTGATTAATAAAAGTGTTTTATGAACCTCCATCTACTATTACTACTAATTAAATGTATGCCCATGAAAGTTACCGTCTTGTTGCTTTTAAAGATTATATGTTATTAGAAATTAAGTCACAAAACATCTCCTCAAGGAACCTAGTACATAAAACCAAAAAGATTATCCTTATCATTGCAGTGTTATCTACGTTTGTGTGTTATAAGTATTTTTGTCGTTCAATATGAAAGAAGGAACCTTTACACTAACACCACTAAGTGCGTTGTCTTTTTTTCAAGAAAACAAAGAGAGATATCTATGTTGGCATTAACGTCAAATACTTACGTTTTTGGTTCTTTGATGTTGTTAAAAACCAAATTTCTGAGTCATTCATTTTTATGTCATGTACTTACATGCTCGATGTTACACAGCCTACCTTCCTTAATAAATTCTTTTTCGTGATGATAATTATTATATTTCAGTCTGACTGATAGTTTTAGACATAAGTGCACCAAAACCAACATTAAAAAAAATAACTAGTCAGTTTTAATATAAAGAACTATAATAGGCCCTTTATTTCGATCAACTTTCGATCGTAAAATAAAATAGCAAAGCAATTACTGAGACTAGCAGATTACCGATTCGATTTTCGGTTGGACTTGTAAGACTTTATTAAGAAAATACCATTTATGATAGTTGTGAGATCGAAAGTTGATGCGAACTAAATTGAGAACGAACTTTTATTACGAGAATTTGCCTTCAGGACAAACACCAATGTCTTTAAAACTTAGGTTTGCCATTCTTAAAAATAATCACTATTTTTGCAATGGCAATGTTAATGTGTGTGTAACAAATTTATAATTCACAATCCACTTCACAGACTTACACTTGGCCCATTTTTTTTATTTGGATTATACTAATCTTATTTTGTTTCTTTCACAGCATTCCAGCTGCCCAAGCTGTATGCTAAGCTCCACTACTGCGTGTCCTGCGCTATCCACAGCAAAGTAGTACGTAACAGATCAAAGAAGGACAGGAGGATCCGTACGCCACCCAAGAGCACCTTCCCCAGGGACATGCAGCGCCCTCAGAATGTGCAAAGAAAGTGAAGTGATCATCATTAAAATATAAAACCCAACATACTCTTTTCTTTCGTATCTCAACCTTAATAACTGACTTACGATAATGATATTACTAGATTATGCTATAAGCTTGCTTATGGTTAATATGTGTACTACAGAATGAATAATTAGTACCAGTATATTGTTGCGTTGAATTAAAGTACAATTCAGATTGTACAGGGCTAATTATCTGCCGCCGTTTACTTCTGCGAGCAAGTTAACTTGCGAAGGAGACGGCGGAGCGGCACCGGGGATGGGGAAGGTACCGCAGAACTTAGGCGTCGGAGGTCGCATAACGTCCTCCGCCTTCCATAAGCGTAGTCCTGAGGGTGACAGGTCAGGCCATCGTCACCCTAGTAAAAGTAAACCGGGGTGGCAAGTCGACGCGCTGTGTAGTGCATGCGCCCTTAAGGGAGTTAAATAGGAAACATCGTAACTTCCCAGACACCATGGGGCATCTACAGCCGTAGATGGCAGGGATTTCCTTCCTAGGGTACATATAGTACCCGCGACGTGTGCGTTACGATTGCACCACCACGTCAGCTATCTAAACAGAAAAATCTTTGCCATTTGTCAAATGGGAACAAACCAAAAAGAGAGGGCATGGGGTAGGTAGGTACCTCAAGAACTTACATCCGACGCGTATCAGATCACTAAATAATTGTCACGACTAGTAAGCCCGCCACGTGTAGGTCTATACTTGCCATTGCAGTTTGCACCGCTATCCGCGATATGTAACTTCAATCGATAGAAGATAGTACTTACACCTACAGGACGGACGATCAACCTACATTGAGCGATGTTCGCTTGGAGATCCGAGATGACACTCCCTAAAAGATTACGTAGGTACACGTACATTATACACTTGTATATTATTTAGTTCTTAGTACATACGTAGGACCGTCATTCTTAACAGCGAATCAAAGAACGCTCCCAAAGCGTCCTTGGATTTCCTGCAAATTCGATTACTGTGAGTCATTCACACTAAGCACTAACAAAAATCACAGGGGTTCATGAATTGTTTGACGTCTCCTTACAGATGGCGCGCCGGTCAGACTGGCACCACCTGAACCACGTTGGGCGCTCAAGCGCTTAGATCGCGACCTCCTCCTGGAAGCCGCCATCGTACAGGCCTGGGCTCCTGCGCCGGACAGGCCTGTCGAAGTCGATGCTGAGGCACAGTGGTTCCGGGAGGCCATGACCCGCGTCTGCGATGCGGCGATGCCTAGGGCTCAGCCCAATACTGCGAGGCGCCAGGTCTACTGGTGGTGGTGGTGGTGGAGATCGCACGGCTGCGTCAAGCCTGCGTGACCGCGCGCCGACAGTGGTCCAGGTTCCGCAGGAGGCGTCGCCGCCCCGAAGATGCGGCAGCGAGAGAGGCGGAGCTGTTAGCGGGTTACAGGGTTGCCAAGAGGACCCTTCAGGCAGCGATAAAGCGGGCCAAGAGCGAGGCCCACCGCGAGATGCTGGAGACACTGGAGCGGGATCCGTGGGGACGCCCCTACCGTATGGTTAGGGACAAGATGCGCCCATGGGCCCCGCCGCTCACACGGTGTCTTCAGCCAGAGCTGCTTGAGAGGGTCGTTGGCTCCCTGTTCCCAACGCGAGTGGTGGAGCATACTTCGCCACAGATGGCTCCGCCTCCGGCGCTTGAGGCGCCTAACGTGGATGACGACGACGTGCCTGAGGTCACTGGGGTGGAACTAAGGGTGGCGGTGTTACGGCTTAAAGCTAAAAACACCGCCCCGGGACCCGATGGCATTCCTGGCCGAGCGTGGGTCCTGGCCTTAGTCGACGAGGCTCTCGAGCCCGACTGCGAGGGTTCTTCAGCGCATGCCTCGAGCGGGGCCAGTTTCCGAAATTGTGGAAGACGGGGAAACTGGTCCTCATCCGAAAGGAGGGGCGCCCGGCGGACTCGCCGTCCGCCTACCGGCCCATAGTGTTGCTTGACGAGGTGTGCAAGCTCTTTGAAAGAGTGATTGCAAGGCGCCTCGTCAAGCATCTCGTGATGGTTGGGCCGGATCTGTAGTACGGTTTCCGTCAGGGGCGCTCCACCGTGTTGGCGGTGTCCTTGGACATCGCCAACGCGTTCAACACTATGCCCTGGAGCTGCATCAGGGAGGCGCTCGTGTATCACGAAGTGCCTCTCTACCTCCGCGCGATAGTCGGGGCATATTTGTCGGAGAGAGCCGTCGTCTACCCCAGTAGGACCGGTCTCGGTAGGCGTGAAATGTCGTGCGGTGTTCCGCAGGGGTCGGTGTTAGGGCCACTCTTGTGGAACATCGGCTACGACTGGGTGCTTCGTGGTGCCTTCTTGGATGGTGTCGCCGTCGTGTGCTACGCGGACGACACACTCGTGACGGCGCGCGGCAAGACGCACCACGAGGCAACCCTGAGGGCCACGGCCGGGGTTGCCCAAGTCGTTGAGCGTATCCGGCGGCTGGGTCTCGAGGTGGCTCTGCACAAGTCCGAGGCCCTGTTCTTTCACGGGCTTCGGAGGAAGCCGCCTGAGGGATCTAGCCTCACGGTAGGAGGCACTCACATCGGCATCGAGCCCTCGATCAGGTATCTGGGGCTCGTACTCGATGGCCGATGGGACTTCGGATATCATTTCCGAGGTCTGGTCCCCAAGTTGGTTGGGGCAGCGCGTGCGTTGGCGCGGCTGCTGCCCAACATGAAGGGACCCGATGACTCCTGCAGGAGACTCTACTCAGGGGTTGTGCGGTCCATGGCCCTTTACGGGTGCCCAGTATGGGCGGGGGCCCTGAAGGCCAGCAACGTCGCGATACTGCGACGACCGCAGCGAATGCTGGCCATCAGGATCATAAGGGGGTACCGCACGATCTCCTTTGAGGCGGCGAGTCTCCTGGCCGGAACTCCACCATGGGACCTGGAGGCGAGAGCTCTTGCGGCTCTGTAGCAGTGGCGCAAGGAGGCGCAGGAGTTGGGTCAGGTCGCCAGGTCATCATAGGGGAGTGGAGGGAACGACTCGGCAACCGAGCGCCGGGCACGCCGTCATCGCGGCGGTAAGACCCGTTATGGAGGATTGGCTCGAGAGGCGTCACGGGACCCTCTCATACCGATTGACGCAGGTGATCACTGGGAAGGGATGTTTCGGAGATCACCTGTGTCAACGCCTGAGTGCCACCACTGCGATGGCCAGACCGTGGACACGGCTCTCCACACGCTGGCAGAGTGCCCGGCGTGGGTTGAGCAGAGGCGAGACCTCGTGGCGGCCATCGGAGTGGGAGTTCTCTCGCTCGATAGCCTGATTGCGGCTATCGTGCGGAGCGAGAGTGCGTGGAACTCTGCCGTCTCCTTCTGCGAGCAAGTTATGCTCGCGAAGGAGACGGCGGAGCGGGACCGGGAGAGGTTTAGAACTCTCCCGGCCCGCCAGGCCCGGGAACGGGCCAGGTACCGCAGGCGACTCAGGCGCCGGAGGTCGCAGAACGACCTCCGTCCTCCATAAGCGCAGGCCTGGGGGTGACAGGTGAGGCCATCTGTCACCCTAGCAGAAGCAGGCCGGGGTAGCTGCGAGCGCGTTGCGAAGCGCGCTCGCTTCCAGGGAGCACAGGGAACATGGGGTTCTCACAGTCGTCTACTCGTCTGTAGATGACCCGAGGTATGTCGGGGCACCAGGGACTTCCTTTCTAGGGTATACCTGGTTCCCCGGCTATTAGTACCCGGCGACGGCGTGCGGTTTTAGTCGGTTCGAGTCCGACATGCCACCGACAGGTGGTATCCGAGGGGATTTCCGCACGGGAGAACAAAAAAAAAAAAAAAGGGGGTTCATGAATTCAGGAGGGGTCATCTATAAGCCGTAGATGGCCTGAGGTACGTCGGGGTACTAGGGCTTTCCTTTCTATTCTATACCTGGTTCCCCGGCTTCTGGTACCTGGAGACGGCGTGCGGTTTTTGGTTGGTTCGAGTCCCACAATCACCCACTGGTGGGTGGTATCCGAGGGGAGTTCCGCACAGAAAAAAAGGGGTTCATGAATTGCGTGCGATTCCATGAGTTTTACATATTTTGTTCTTTTTTAGTTTTAGAATGAAATTAAAAAGACCTTCGGAACTCTACGCACACCCAAGAGTTACCAAAATGCCTGTATTGCCAAAAGTACAAGACGAAATCGTTAAGTCCCTTCCATAAGACAAAAGTTCATCAAAGCTCGAGTCACGACTCCAATTCAACAAGAAATGTATGGTGGGTACGCAGTCCAGTAAAGTTGGATTGGGAAATGCTAGAAGACAGCCCGACAAAGAAATATGACAAAATATTTCCTACAACAAGATGAAAACGAGACTTACACGGTACACGCAATGAACCTAGAAATGCAGAATGAATGGTTAACTTTAGGAGAATTTTGTATCCCACCAGCTTTGAAATGGCGCACACTTTTATACGATTAATCTCCCCAATCAAAGCAACCTAGTGGGTGGGGAAAAGCTACAGAAAAGGCTTGTAGGACGACGTGCAGTGCGGAAACAGGTACAGCCAAGCACTTACTGACAGGTTGTAGGGCGCTATTAGACCGGGGTCATTATTGACGTATCACTGGCGAGAGCGAAAAACGAATAACAAACATAAGAACTAACATACAAAAGTCGTACTCAAATACTGGCAGTGACTGGACATTATTAGTGGACACGTATGAAAATCATTACAGAATACCGGAGGATTTCTGTGCCTCGGCGTCTAGACCAGACATATTTCTTTATACAATGTTAATTAAGCGTGTAGTACTAGTAGAACTCACGGTGCCGTGGGAAATGAACAGCCCTTATGACCACGCTTTAAAAAGAAACAAGTACTTTGATTTAACCAACGAAATAACTAAAAACGTTTATTTCGTTGTGTTGTATGCCGTGGAAATGGGTACGAGGTATATATAGGCTAAATCCCTCTATAACCTGCTAAGCTCTTTTCTTGAACGACTGTCTAAAGCGGCATTGTTAGTCTCGTATCAAATATGGTTAGGTAGAGTATGGTCAGTGGAGGTGAGCGCAAGGAGTAGGTACTCCCTAAACCGAAGTCGAAGTCGCATGTGTTGCCCCCATCTATCACACGATAGACCCAGCAACCGCACGGTGAATCCATGGAATGCTAAGAAATAGGTTGAAACGTGGGTTCATATGTTGACTCGATGCCCTATGTGTAGACTGGTCTATCCCAATCGCTTTGTCGCAGGGAGTTTTAATAATTGGAAATAGACGAGAGCTGATATCAGTTACATTCAGTGAAATAGTTAAAAGACTTAAGACATATTCTCTAGTCATTATTGATTTGGACCTCGTGGGCGTCTTCTCCAACAAACCTTTCTTATTCCTATTTATCTATCCTTTCGTATCTTATGATTACGCCTGACACACTGTAACGGTTCTCGTCATATCTCACGGGCCGTCAGACTCTGTCCGCGTCGACGAAGCCTTTGTGAACTTTCTTACCCTCAAGGTGGCATTCTCTCTCCTCTTTTATTCTCAATATTTATCGATCTCATCACTCCGAATCTTCAATGTGCGTATCATCTTTATGCCGATGACTTGCAGATCTATTACCATTTTAAAACAATGACTTCTAGAGGCTATTAACGGATGGGTTGATAAGTTTGGTTTGGCTGTGAATCCAGCGAAGTGTCAAGCCATCATCATGGTTATCGCAGGACTGGATGGTTAGACCAAAATAAACTGACATCCATTACTTTTAACGGCGTAGTCATTCTGTTAAGAATCTCGGCCTTCCTGAAGTCCTCACTCCAATTTCTATGTTCCAATCACAATAGAACTCTCAACAATCTCCTCAAACAATCTACTTCTTCTGTGCCTGACTCATAATTCCGCGTGTGTCCACTTCTCGTTCCTAATCCAATCTGTCCTTCTCTGGAACGCTCTCCCTCTGGAAATCAGGATAGCACCTAGCCGCCTCACATTTAAATACCCTAGCAGATTCAGTCTTAAAGTTTATATACATTATTATTTGTGTATATATGTGTGTATGTATCTCAGCAAGTATAAATGTATGTGTATTTCGGTATGTCACATCACATCATCACATCAATAGCCTATAACAGTCCACTGCTGAACATAGGCCTCTACTTAGAAAGGAGGTTTTAGCCTACTATACCACGCTGGCCAGACGGGTTGTTATAGTGTTTGTGTCAAGTTTGCCTTCTCTCTGCAGTGCTGTTGTCCTGCGTAGTTTGGTCCCTTAGTCGGCTCTTACGACACCCGCGGGATAAATAGGGGCGGTGACACTCTGTATTCTTTATTCGTCACCACACGGATCAGTTCGGTTTCGGTTTGTATATCCATCTATTCCACTGTTTTTGTCTATCTTCCTCACAACATTTTTGTTCTCTTTAAAAAAAAATTTATGTAGTGCACCTAGTCAGACATTTCCCCACCACCTAAAGGTAGTCTGGGTGAAAATGCCTCAGGCATTAAATCCGCCATTGTACATAAAGATTTTAAAAAATACGTTATGCATTTAATACCCTTTATAGCATGTCATTAAAGTAAATATCTTAATAATAATAACTTCAGACTTCACACGGCCGTCTGATTCCAAACTAAGCAGAACCAGTGTTATGATAACCAGACTGCTGATAAACATACTTATATATTTTAAGGAGAGGCCTATGTCCAGTAGTGGACTAGTGAAGGCTGTTGATGATATATTTCTAAACACATAGTAAAATTACACACAGACACAGAACAAATCATCGTGCCATCACATAATTATTTGTCCTGGGTGGGAATCGAACCCACAACCTCTGGCTTAGCAGTCATTGTCACTAACCACTAGACCAACAGGCCCGTTAACCATTTTTATTTTCGTACTCAGCGTTCCAAAATTTAGATGAATCTAACGACACCTTAAAGCCCAAAACCCATCAAGCCGTTTAGGCTTCAAAGCAGGCCAAAAATATAATACATACGCTAAGAACTTACCTCTACTGGCGCACTCGGATATAAACTGAATCCTAAATCAATCTTACTTTTACTATAATGTTCACACCAGAATGGCTAAATGAAATTTGGTACAGATATTTTGTAGTATTTAAGAACGTATGGCTATTTTGTGTAACAGGAAATTCAAGCAAAGCGACGGGCTTAGACAGTTTAAATAAGAAGCAAATGTCAGGTAATTCGTTTATTTAATCTGTAGAATATAAGAAAACCATAGTTATATTTTCTATGACAAAATATGTCAATGAGCATTTTAAAAAAGGAAATGACTACATTATTATTCAAGACACAAATATTACGGAATTAATTAAATAAACTATACCAGATTGTCAATTAATTCTATTAAATAAGAAACCATATTTATGTAGCTTGGCAACACTCACTTTCAACATTCCATAAAGCTGTATACATATTGGATAAAGCACTATGCAACTTGTATAAAACAAATCACTGAAGTTAACATTTAGAATCAATTCCAACAATTGAAGTTACTTTAGGCAAAATTGGTCTAACACAAAGCTACTATACTATAATATTATAAGATTAAAAGGCCTGCTTAATATCTTTGGAAAACAAAGCGGAAATTATAAGTCAGCCTCTTTTTTCTAAGAAATATGAGACAGCATTTTTTTTAACTTTATTTCAAATAACAACAGAATTTTAATAAACTGTTTAAAATATTAAGCATTACTGACAAACTTTTTACTTAAAAACCAGTAATCTAATTCAGATCTGTATTTTGTGGTTAGGTTTTATATAAAATTGACATATTACATTTAAAAATTACAGGACACCCACAGGGCTATCCAAGTCAGCTGTCCTGAGTCTTATTTTAAATAGGATAGCAACATTATTTTGGTCAAAACTTGCCATCCTGATAAAGGTTTTTTTTTTTTTAATTACAAAAAATTACAAGTCCTTATATGATACAGCCAGTTGTTATCAGGGCTGCAATGGTTAAAAAATAAGACAGGTCAGTTTTTTTTAACTCAAAACTATTGTCTATGGGTATTGATATAAAAAATACTCTTTTAATATTGTTGACGATTAAACAGGCCCAACTATCCAAGCTATACTAAGTTTAATTAAGTTATACTTAATTATCATTTTTTTAAACATCATGGGCCTTTAATTTTATAAATTGTTTGTGGTAATTTGGGAATTGCAGGTTTGTCTGCCATATCAAGGGCTTGTTTCAAGTTCTTCTCAAATACTTTCTTTGCATCACAGAAACCTTGCTTTGTCTTGCCAAAAGAATTTGGACCTGCCGATGTTGGAGTTTCCCTGAAACAAATAAATTTACCATTTTATCTACGAGTTGAGTATTTTGTTTAACATGATTTAGATTTTTTTGGAGTTTAGAACAAGGCATATGTCACAACTACATGAGGCAATCACTTAATACTGTAAATTCTTAACTGATGATGTAAAACTAGTAGCATTCTCCACATACATCTAGTTAATAATTTCAAATTACCTCTTTGGTTCAGTTGCTTGGATTCCTAGTGTTTTCTGTGTTCGAGTGTTTTGCAAGTTTGTAATCTTATGCAATATATATTTGACTACCCACTCTTATTGTATGTTATATTTAAACGCTCAATGGATTTATTTTGTTTACTTTTATGTATGTTTTCTCAGTAAGTGAATTTTGTGAATTCTTTGGAGGAATAAAGATTCTTAAACCGAAAAAAAGAACTTAGTTACTAATTACTTAACAAAATTAAACTTCCACATTCGAAAATACATAATTAGAGAGAATGTGCCACAGCGAAGCGGAGCAGGATACAGATGGAAAATGTATTGTACAATAACATCTTAAGAAATAATATGCATGTTTTGATCTAGTACATACAAAAATAAAATTGGAATGAACACAAAATACTGCTACATAACATTATTACAAGACTAGAATGCCTTGGATGAACATAAAAAGATGTAATTGTCAAATATCCACAAGTTGGTGAGAGGAAATAATACCTGCCAATATTTCTCATCCTCATTCTAGCTTCAGCGGGCATCTCTTCAGGCTCATCATCATCATCAGCGTTAAAGACTGATGCTACAGTAGCGACAGGTTTCGCAGGTGCACCCAGGTTCATTTTGATCGGTGCTTTTGGTTTGTTAAAGTCAATTGATATTTTGGTAATACGAGGGGGTGGTGGCGGTGCTGGCACTTCTTCAGGATCCTCAAAATCTGATGACCGACGCTTTTTGTCTGAAACAGACAGTAATTATTGTCATTGCTTAGCAAGAAAAATACTAGCAAAAGAAACTATGCACATCACATCAACAGCCTTTAATAGTCCACTGCTGGACATAGGCTTCTCCTTAGAAAGAAGGTTTTGGCCTACTATACCACGCTGGCCAGGCGGGTTGGTATAGGGTTTGTGTCAAGTTTTCCGTCTTTATGCACATTTAGAAGTAATAACTGAATTTATAAAAAAATACATAACTCACCTTTATATTCAATTTCTCTACTCTTTGGCGATCTGTCTCGCGAATAGCGCCTTTGACTGGGGGACCACTGTCGTGGTGAGCGGGACCTCGATCTTCTCCGCTCCCGCCCTTCGCGCCTCTCCTTGTGCTGCCTAGAATCATCGCGCGTAGATCGAGACGACCCTGCCAATGCGAAAACACTGGCAAAGATAAATAAAAATACATATTTGAGTACACTAATGCTAAAAATGGTTTGCTACTTTTATCTACGATGTCCTATCAGCAAGATGTACTTCATGCCATTCTAATACCTTTATCAGAGATGTGGTAACGGCCACTCATCGTTGTTACGTTCTTTGAACTTTTTCAGTCATTAAATGTTAAGAATATTACAAAACGTTGTTTGTTTCTAAGAAAACAGGTCAGGACACCCAAGACTGAAAGTCAGCCATTGTTATTTTTATTAGGTCACCAAAACGTTTAGTTATCATTTTTATGGTGTTCGATTTTTAGTAAAAATGGATGACGCATAAAATTTACCAAATATAATAATATATGTATCAATATATAAATATATTCAGAATTTCTATACACGCCAATAAATAGTAGAGAATTTTTATAAAATATTTTCAAAATAAACAACAAAACGGGTTGTTTCCATAAAGAAAGAGATGGTTTTAAGTCTCTGGTTTTAACACTAATTTGTTTTGACACCTTAATTTTAATACTACGAAAATGAAACTTCAGTATTATATAAATGTTTGACCTTTGAATTTAATGATCCACGAAAATTAATACATTTATTATTATTACCATAGATTATTTTTACCTTCAAAAAGTTTTTTGGTGTGGTGACAGGCGTGACAGTGACAGTGACAGAACGAAAGTATGCTTTTAGGTTAGGATTTTGTAGTGTTTATTTACATTACATAGCTTTTTAATTTTACATAAGATAGGAAATTAAAGTTTTAAAAATGTTATTTATAAGACGTGTTCAGCGTTTATCTAAACTTATTGACCAGCCTTCTGTGATTAAATGCCGATGCTACTCGGCATCGTCCAGAATTATTTCAATCAAAGAAAAGTTAAAAGATGGACCAGGCTTGAAAGAATTTATCATTGAAGACAATCAACCGATCCTCACAGATAGTCCTCATATACCTTATTTGATGGCAAATGTGAAAACACAAACCAAACGAAAGGTTTTCTTTGATGTATACGGCTGTCAAATGAATTTGAATGATACTGATATTGTGTGGACCATTTTGAAAAAAGAAGGTTTTGAAAAGACCACAATAGAAAATGAAGCTGATATTTTTCTAGTTATGACATGTGCAATAAGAGAAGGAGCAGAAACTAAGATTTGGCATCGTTTGGACCATTTGAGAGGGTTTAAGAGACGCGCGAAAAACCGTGATGTAAAAATAGGTATTTTGGGATGTATGGCTGAGAGATTAAAGGAGAAGTTAATTGAGAAGGAGAAAGCTGTTGATATTGGTGAGTTCAGGTCTAAAAAGAAGTAATATGTGTCTTATGGTTTGACATTATCCATATAAAGTATCTACTAGATGTAGTTGCTACCAATGAACCTTTGGGCTTCAACTGAAAATCAGCGCTGTGTTCGCTTTTAGGGGCATAGCAAAGGTTGAGCTGTGGCCTTTTAGTCACACAATTAGATAATTTTATTCAGTCATAATTGTTTGTTTAATTCTATAGTGTAGAAAAGTGTTTCTTTTTTTTGTTATTTTTGAATGACATCTGCTCATTTGCCTGCTTTGCAATTATATGACAGATCTGTTGGTTTGATTTCCACCCAAGACAAATTACTGTGTAATGAGCATGATCATTTGTTCTGTGTCTGGGTGTGATTTATCTATAATATGTATGTATTTAGATATATATATATTTAAGTATGTTATCAGTAATCTGGTTATCATAATACAGGCTATGTCTAGTTCTGAATAGAATGCCGTGTGTGAGATTTATGAGGCTATTATTATTAAATATTTAGTCACTCAGTTCTCCATAGTTTGAAACTAGATGATGTTTTGTGTCCAATGTCTGAAATATTAAAAATATAAAAAAATCTTCCCGTCTGCTCAACTATTATCAAATTGAGCAGTGAGAGTGGCAGCAGTGGGAACAGTTGAGCATGTTAGAGGCCGCACCAACATGTAAACACGACACAAACACTTGCCGCAAGCTTCCTTTGATCTGTCTTCAAAACCGACACTAGACTCAATCGACGACAAGCTCACGCAAGCCAACCACTCCGTTTACATGCTTCTGTTTGACACTTGTCGAGACTTGTCACATTTGTAAACCCATAATAAATCATCCTTATTTCAGTGGCTGGTCCTGATAGTTACAGGGATTTACCTAGATTACTGGCACTCACTGAGAATGGTCAAACAGCTGTCAATGTATTGCTATCATTAGATGAGACATATGCTGATGTAGTGCCTGTCCGATTAAATCAAGACAGTGTGTCAGCATTTATGTGAGTACAGTACCATTATCCCCTCAATTTTTTTTATCGATCTATCGCATGTTGTAGTACAGCCAAGGCCAATATGGCTAAATCAGAGAAAAGTTTTACTTGCATCGTGGTTTCATAAAACCACACCACACTTTGTTTTTAGATTAAAAAAAAAAAAAAACAAGCAGACGGGTCATTTGATGGTAAATAACTACCGCCGCCCATGGAAACCGCAACTCAAGAGCCACAGAGGCACAGAGGGCTGCTGGACATGAAAATTAATGCTACTTTTAACTCCTCACGTGCCGCTACACTGATCAGCGCTCACTGGTGAAGGCACTTTACAGTGTATCGGCATTTCGCTGTTTATGAAAGGTTAAATCATATTCATTTGATGAAATGATTAGTTTTAGTCACAGCGAGAACACATGTGATTGTGATTATGTCATCGACCAAGACAAATGGCATTAGAATCAATCAAAAATTCTCATTATCATAGATGGCGACTTTTTTTTAGATTCAAACCTTTCGTGGATCTTGCACTGGCTAGCTACTAATAATATATGTATAATATATAAAATAACAATAATTAAGTAGCCGCGCCGCATTGGTTTTGTGAATCAGTCACAGGTGTGATGGTATGATCCATAAAACCTATGATTTATCACGTGATTGTGATTTTAGTGCATCCCTAGTGCGTGCTGCCCTTTGTTCCCCCCCTCAGGGGGTATGGGGTGGTTTTTGTTTGCTCGCTTGCTCCCCTATTCCACGAATATAATAAATGAACAAATACTTAGTTTTTCTGTCAGGGAATTTATAATACAATACATGATAACGAAACTATTCTGTCTGTGTCTTCCCGGGAAACAACAAAGTTGAAATAATCGCTTTACGTTTTTCGTTTTGAAGATCGATAATGCGCGGCTGTGACAACATGTGCACCTATTGCATCGTCCCCTTTACTCGAGGTAGAGAACGCTCACGACCAGTCTCCTCCATAGTGGACGAAGTACGCCAGCTTGCAGACCAGGGGGTTAAGGAAGTGACATTGCTGGGGCAGAATGTGAACAGTTATAGAGATGTGACGCAGGCTACGGAGAAGGTAGACACTCAGGTTGCAAAAGGTAAATATGAACACAGTTCTATGTTACATTTCACTTTTATTTATTGTTCATTTAAACACGCTAGAATCTAGAAGGTTACCATTCAAAAATTATATGTATTGGTCAGAGTTGAAAAAGGTTATAGCTTTGTAACATCACACTACGACCATTGGGATCAAAGCAGTTACTATGAACGCGGATGAAAGTGCTAAATATTTATAAATGCGAAGAATAAAGTTAGCAGTTATGGCTTTACAGGTTTTAGAACAGTATACAAGACCAAAAAGGGAGGGTTGAGGTTTGTTGATCTCCTGGAGAAAGTGTCGGCTGTTGATCCTGAAATGAGGATTAGGTTCACTGCAGCACATCCAAAAGATTTTCCTGATGAGGTAAGATTTGCTGAATTTTCTGCTCGACTCGCTGGGTGAAAGTAGGGTGCTTTGCATGTAGTGCTGAACATGTTCTATCGTATTTGGCTGTTTAAATAATAACAAAGATATAGAATCCACTTTTTTCACAATTTTAAACGACTTTAAAGAAAAAGGTCATAAAAGAAAATGGTTAATAGATGGAAAAAGAGACGATTTTTAGGTGAATATAATCGTAATTATTATCGCCTTAGTAAGTGCTTTTTTTGTGTAACCTTGTCCTTTCAGGAATTTTGATATGTATTCAATAGTCAGATGATCCTGTATAAAATAAAAAAAATACAAAAGAAAAAATCTTATATATCAAATATCTAAATTTATCCTAGGATATTTAGACCTGGGATTCTCAAAGTAGTTGATATCGGTTTCCCAGGGGGGTACCAGGGGATGTCGGGGTACCAGGGACTTCCTTTCTAGGGTATACCTGGTTCCCCGGCTATTAGTACCCGAGACGGCGTGCGGTTTTAGTCGGTTCGAGTCCGACATGGCACCGACAGGTGGTATCCGAGGGGATTTCCGCACGGAAAAAAAAGGGGTCGATGAGGTCTAAAAATCGACGCCCATTAATTTCTTATTTAAAACTTTCAAGATACTGTATTAGTCGTGTTATGTGTACCAACTTGTTATAAGAATGACTAATATTTCAGTAGGAAGCATCATTGTTGTACTTTTTACAAACTCAACATGTCGATAAGCGTGCAGTAATTTGGCTATAGGGATCTAAGGGATCAGTTCATTTTAGAAAAGGGGTCTCTTGGCCAAAATAGTTTGGGAATCCCTGATTTAGATGCATTAAAATTTCTAGGTGCTACAAATAATATCAGAACGCCCCAACATCTGCAAGCTGCTCCACTTGCCGGCGCAGTCCGGCTCCAGCGCTGTCCTGGAGCGCATGAGGCGCGGGTACACCCGCGAGGCGTACCTGCAGCTGGTTGAACATGTCAAGAAAACCATTCCTGGAGGTAAGCTATCTGTGAAAAGCTTCTCCGAACACAAATAGGATGGGGACCTGGCACGATTATTATTTTTCTTTTAAAATACCAATACAACTAACTGTTAGAATAAAAACTTATGAAGTGGTTTTGGACCAGACGGGAGTTCTTTTTCAAGGAGTTATGCGTACTGTCGCGAAGTGTCAATATCACACTATATTGGCTCCTTTGTATATCGGATCTTGTGCATAGACAGATGTCAATTGCATTGTATGTTACATTGTGTGTTGCAGTGTTATCATTGTAACACACATCGTAGGATGGTATATCTTAAACAAATATGAAAACCACTCACGAAAGGTTTTCTGTAATACTGTAATACAAAACATGTAATCCATGTACAATTTAAATACTGTTATGATGACTGAGTTACCTATTTTAACGGTAGATGAAAGGAAAAAGGTACCTGGTATGAAACTATTCAGGCAATGCCTCCTCAGGTCGCATGGTTTGATGACGCACGATTAAGCAGACACTATGTGAAACCAGCTCTTAGAATTGGATCTGGTAGTGACCAGATCCAATTCCTAACTGCCCGGTTTGTAATAGAATAGAAGATGTGAGACATTCCCTGATGGATTGTGACAGGAATAATTTTTATTCCTGTCACGCGAGGCTTTGCTCAAAGACTCGAGGCTTTGACTGCACGGATGCCGTAGTGGTTTAAGCGGTCGCCACGCAGCTTTCTATTACGCCGAGTGTTGTGGGTTCAAACCCCACATGGGACAACACTTTGTGTGATCCGCAAATTGTTGTTCTGAGTCTAGGTGTACTTTGTGTCTGTTTCATGTATGTTTGTAAAGGTTTGTAACACAGGATAGAATTACCCGAGACCGTAAACTGTATAGAATGACACTATACAATACGAAACAAATAAAAAGAACTGTCAGGACGCCATTTTGGTTTAACAAGGCTCGTCAATATTGTGATTTCCTTTATCGTTAAATGGATTACGTAATTGTTTTTGTAAAATGTATTATTTTCAAGTTTGTTATTATTTTGCATTGTCAAATGATATATTAAAGATGAACGGATTTACTTCATCATCATCATCATCAACAGCCATTAACACCAGTATACCAACCCGTCTGGCCAGCGTGGTAGGCCAATACCTCCTTCCTTCGCGATGATGAAATTGATGATTATCGGTTGTAGTAGTTAAGGTGTTAAATTGTGCTTATCGAATAAACTCCTTTTTCGCATTTAAAATATTATCGTTATGTTTATTTGGTTGCATTTTTTTTGGTAAATAATAATTTAATATCTTGTTTTACAGTTGGTCTATCAACTGATATGATCTGCGGTTTCTGTGGGGAGACAGACGAGGAGTTTGAAGAAACTCTGTCTTTGATGGAGATGGTCGACTACAATATCGCTTTCTTGTTTCCTTATAGTATGAGAGAGGTAAGACTACGACTCCCGCACTAGGAATATATCCTGTGTCGCGGGGGACTTTACAAACAAACATGAAACTTACACAAAGAACACCCAGACTCAGTACGACAATTTGTTAATCACACAAAGTGTCGTCCCATGTGGGGATCGAACCCACAACACTCAGCGTAGTAGGAAACGGCGTGGCGACTGCTAAAACCATTACGCCATCCGTGCAGTCATGCAGTGTGATGTTGACTTCATTTGAATTATTAAATGATAGGAATGAATCACTAAAAAATTTAAACTTGTTGTGTAAACAGTTCAACAAATTGTAATTTAAATTATTGACTGACCTGATGGTCTAGTAGTGAGTGATGCTGGCTGCTCAGCTATAGGTCGTGAGTTCGAATCCCACCCTGAATAAATAATTAGGTCATGAACATGATCATTTTTTCTGTCTGTGTAGAAAATATGTATGTATTTAGTAATATATATAAGTGTGTTTATCAGAGGTCTGATTGTACAGGTTGTATTTGGTTTGGGCAGGCGACAGTTTGTAAGATATGTAAGGTTATTATTATTATTATGATATTTTTAAGCTATTGCATAGCTTCTATCGCGGGCCTTGAGCGTGGAGACCGAATCCAGAAATTCCGTAACGAAAATAACCTAACACACCCCACGTGATACTTTTTAGTTTTGCTATCTATAATAATAATAATATCTCACACATCTCATACACGGCCGTCTGATCCCAAACTAGGCAGAGCCTGTACTATGGTAACCAGACCGCTGATAAACATACTTATATATTTTTTTTAAATAAATGCATATTATAGATAAATTACACTCAGACACAGAACAAATGACCGTGCTCATCACACAATATTTGTCCTGGGTGGGAATCGAACCCACGACCTCCGGCTTAGCAATCAGGGTCACTAACCACTAGACCAACAGGCCCGTCTATCGATGAATAGCAGAACTTTTAATGACTTTTTTGAAATATCACGCTTGTCTCTTTAGTTCAGCAACTCACCTCTAGGTGGCATTGGTTGTATCGGCGTTACTGCGCATGCGTAATCCCTCTCTTCGCCCCGCAATCTAATTAATATAAAAAAAAAACAAAGGAAAAAAATACTGCATAAATAAAATAAATAAATAATTATAATTGCATAAGATGATAAAAATGCTATGCAATAGCTTTACCGCGGCAGTTCCCGAGTGCCACACGTCTTTTATTTTGTTTACAAATTGCCTCTGCTAATGATTGTAAAGTAAATACAACAACAATAAATTGTTTCTTATTACAGAAAACAACAGCGTATCGTCGATATAAAGACGACGTGCCCGATCATATAAAAAAGTATCGCCACAACCGTATGATCGACATCTACAAGCGAAAGTGCCAACTACTAAACGAAGCGGAAATTGGCAACACTCACTTAGTACTCGTGGAAGGTGTTGCCAGGAAATCGGACAAAATACTTGGAAGAAATGAGTTGTATTTGAGAGTTGCTTTCGATCAGACTGCGATACCATCGGAAGATGGGGGAAGGAGGGAGGTGAAGCCTGGGGATTATGTAGCTGTGGAAATTGTTGGGGCGAGGTCCGCCACGCTATTGGGTGTGCCGTTGTATCATACGAGTTTAAGTGCATTCTATCGAGAGCATCAGTGGGGTGAAAGACGGGCTGTAAATTAGTGTAAATATAAATATATTGGTAGTAAATAAAGTAGATTAAAGATGAATAATATATCCCAGTTTGTGTCTTTTTCCGTTTTTAAACGCGAATTTTCGTCACAATTTTTGAATGGGATTAGGGTTGCCACATACATTGTATGTGAGTAAAAACTGTTACATGAAAAAAGAGTGGCGCGAATGAAAAACTATTATCCTAGTGGTGTATCTCATGTCTCAGACTTTCTGTGAGTCGGTGTTATCACACCGGTTGGCTCTACACATTTGTGCCAAAGCTTGACTCTCCCACGGTCATATGAATATTGATTAGATTAAAACAATAAATTGTAGCAACCCTATTCACATTCGGCAATTAACCCGCAAAAAGTTCCATTACTGGTGCTTTTACTCCCTCAAACTATCCGGCTGTTATAGGACTGTAGTGATGGAAAACAGTCAGAAATATGTATAAGGTTATTTACACAATATTGATAAAACTGTTTATATGTAGCAAGCTGTTCACTCAGTTATAGTATTCGAGTTAATCTGTTTAATTTGTAAATCTTATATATAAAATTCTCGTGTCACAATGTTCGTTCCCGTACTCCTCCGAAACGGCTTGACCGATTCTCATGAAATTTTGTGTGCACATCGGGTAGGTCTGAGAATCGGCCAACATCTATTTTTCATACCCCTAAATGGTAAGGGTGACCCATCCCTAAATTTTTTTTTAGGCAAATCAACGTTTGCCGGGTCAGCTGGTATGTAATAAAATTGTTGATTTTAAACACTTTTTCGTATTATTTTTTACTAAAATGGATTTATTTCTAAGTATGTCATGTAATAATGATGATAATGATTCTATTTGTGAAAATCTGACCATTATCTGTTGGTTATCCCAACTGAAGTAAATAAATAATAATATGGCTTACATAACCTATTATTTTTTTCAAACTGGGAACTTTCGTGGGAGAGCCATGCTTCTGCGCCAGGCCAGGCTCGACCGGAGAGATACCACGGCCTCACAGAAAACCGGTGTTAAGCACAGGCCTAAGTGTGAGTTTATTTCACATTTACTCCATCGTCACGGTGACCGCGCTCGGCGCTGTGATTGGCCCGCACTGAAATCTTCACCAATCAAAACGCCGGGCGCTCGCTGTCGAGAGCGAGTTGATGTGAAATGAACTTGTATTAGGCTCTCAGTTAATAATAATAATAATAATAATATTCTACCACAATCACACAACGCCATCTAGTCTCAAACTAAGCAAAGCTTGTACTATGGGTACTAGACAACTGATATAAATACATATATACTTTTTTTTTTGTAAATACATACATATTATACATAGAAACACCCAGACCAAATTAAACATTAAATGTTCATGCACACAAATGCTTGACTTGAGCGGGAATCGAACCCGCGACCTTTGGAATAGCAGTCCGTTACACAAACCACTACGCCATTCGTTATCAGTTCTTTCGTTACTTTTCACTAAGTGAGGTTATCGGAGTCCAAACTATCCTTTGATTCTTGGGGGGAGAGACTGGTTGTTGCAGGTGTCCATGGGCGGCGCTAGTCACTCACAATCAGGTGACCTGTCGGCTTGACCCCTTTTAACATAATAAAAGCTACAAAACGAGCTACGAACGATCCTTACAGAAGTCGTTTATGATGTATTGTAACATCTGACAACTCACCTTGATAATAAGAAGTGCGTTTTTTGGTGAAATCACAAAAAGCGCGCGCTTTTCCAGCTTCCTGTTACGCACTTCCGTCGCTTACGAGATTAGTCGTTCAGCAAAGCGAGACAAAACATGTTACATATCAAAAATCGTTGATAAAATGTTATATTGGTGAATAAAAGTTATATATAGTTTGTGACACTTCAAAAGTGCATTTATTAAAATCAATCAATCAGTACAAAGTTATCAATCAAATACAATGCAACACAATAAATATAATTACAATAATGACAGACTATAAAATATTACGACTTTAATTTTTATATGACATAAGGCTCATTTTCGAGTACATTTAATTTACATCATCAAAAACAACACACACTGGAAATATTTTAATTTAGCTGGTATTTTTTCAAAATCAGACCCTGTCTATTATTAATTGGCCAGTTCAGACAAAAGTCAACTTTAAATATTGAAACTTCAGGTTTGTTTTACTTTGATCAATTAATGGCACTTGCAACAATACGTCATCCGACGTACCAAGTGACATAACGTTGTTAATCTAATCTGAAATGTCAGTCATTATTTGATTTAAAGAAATACCCTCTATTAGCCAAAATAATAAAATATTTCAATGTTTCACATTCCTTTTAAAACTGTTAATTTGATTCTGGCCCGTTCATTCGAAAGATGATTGCTTATTAATTTGTTGTATACTATTTTTTTACATCATAAAGTTATTTCTTTCTTTTCTATCTAGACGAGTCTATTTTTATACTCCCATATTTAACATTTTTTTATAAAACTGGCAATATTTTTAATAGTGTTGGAATTAAATAATAAAGTGATTCAAGACAATTATAAACAAAGAATTACATTTCTGTTGGGGAACAATGACAAAGAAAAATCAAGGATTAAAAAACGAATATGCATCCAACCACTATCTGGCTACGGTATTGCCATTTATAATTAAAGCCAATTGAAGACACTTTTTCTTAAATAGTTATGTACCTACTTACCTCCTTTTAAATAGCCTATCCAAAGGGGATTTAGCTATAAGAATTATTTTATAAACTTATTCTGACTTTATAACATAAAGTGAGTATTTTTTTACAATATAAAAATAAAAGAAAAATATAACAAACTTATTAATAGTTACAATTAATTACAATACATTGTGATACATGGCATCTTTAAAACCTACATTAAATTTGTACTTTTATATTATTTAATTATTCATTTATTTGTGAGGGTGTGGATTTGTGATGTTAAAGTGGCTTCATATACCTACATATTGTGGACACTTACTTCATTTTGACATTTAGAAATATGAGTGAAGGTACAATGTTCATTATATTATACTAGCAACACTAAGCTGATAACTTTGATCACTGTACAACATATTACATAGAGGTGTGATTTTACTTAAGGATCTGTCAGGGCAGGCGATAAATAGTCTTGAAAGAAGTTTACTTGTATTATGTTTGGAAACAGCTTTTCGTCCAGCGCATCCACTAAATCCCTAACACAAAACTAATTTCTAGACAACGTACTATTTATTTTCTTGACAATTTCAGTGTTTTTTTTATATACTGAAAATTTCGAACAAATCTTTATATTCTATCAACATCCCTAGTCCCAACCTAGTGTATATTGCAGTTTAAATCATATTTACTTCGTCGCTGTGTTTTTAAAATGAGCTAAATCGATACATTAATGCGCCGCGACCCTAATGACCGAGATATAGGGCATCACTTACTACAATTAGGTTTGCAAATGGGTGGGCAGGCGATGATAACGTCTTAACGTGTCGAAACTTACTAAAATATCAAGTTTTTTAATTCGTATACTATAAGAACCCGATATATAACCGCACCTCGATGTAACAAGTTCTAGATAAAATTTATTACGTATTTATATTTTAACTGGATGAAAATGAACACAATATTTCAGAAATGGGATATTGCCATATCCATTTTACAATAGTATTTTGTCTCAGTATTCTATTTGAGCCTAGCGTCATCGTTAAAGAACAGTAACACAATATCTTTACATGATGATCAGCCCGGTCCTGGAGGGTACCTCGGTTAGTTCAGCTTACCAAAAAAATATAGGTACTCTGGAGTCTGATCCAGAACTAACAGAGATCCAGTAACGGAATTGAATAAAACACCACAAAATTTTAGAGAAATCACATTTGAGACTGCAATTTTCGCTTTTACCCCAGAATACTGTTTTCAAGTTACACTAAACTAGAAGCTCCAATCTGACCACCCATGGGCTTCCCATTCGGCATAACATTAACTCTCTGCCCGGATATGTTATCTGAACCATCCGCATGACCTGACAAACTTGGCGATGGCCCCTGCGAGCTCCCATACACTTTCGTACTGTATCCAGAATCGTTGTGGGACTCCCTGTCTGCCTGACTTTGGGTTTCAGCCAGATGGGTGTTAATCGCCAACGATTGTAACCGACTGTGTAGTAAACTATGGTCAGGATTCGGTTTTCTGGTCATTCCATGCGGATTTCCCCTAAAATTCGGGTACATTGGGTCGTAGCATAGCCGGTAGTCATTCTGATTTGCGATTTCAACTTCAGTGTTTTGGTCTAAATGATCGCTGTAGCAGTGCGGTATGCGTTCCATCTCTCTCATGATATGATCCTGCATCATCGCGTCGAATACTCCAGTCTGATGATGGTATAAAGGATTTCTGTTTCGACCTTGTATTTGATTAGGTAGTCCTGGCTGGTTGTAGTCATATTGAGAACATGAGTACTGAGGGACTGGCAAACCACTATCTAAATAGGGCATTTGTCTGTTAGGAATCTCGTGGAAATAGGCATCCTTAGGTATCATAGGTCGTAAATTATGGGGATACGGATTTTGTGTAGACATTTGCGCTGGCGACGGTGACTTTGACACTGTTTCAAAGTTAGGCATTGGCAGTGTTTGAAGCAAATTGGTGTTCTTCATTGGTCCCGGTTGCATGGAACTTCTTATTGGATTGTCTTCCTCGTCACTGCTTTCCGAGTTATTCCCATTGTCCTTTGGCGGGTTTTGAAAGGTTTTTCTCGTTGGAAACGGTATTAAATTATGCAAGCTGAAACGTTTGCTTTTCGGTGGCTTTTCTTTTAGAACTGGTGCTGGTCTTTGGGGTTGCTGTGGCATTTTTAGAATACCAGGGTGCTGACTAGTTGAAGGTTCAACGATTTCGGTGGGTTGCTGCAGATTTCTAGGAATAGATTCAGGAGATGTACTTTGTTGCCTTTCTGCTTGTGCTACTAATTCTTGAACTGATTTTCTCTGCTCCCTTTGTGGATCATCTTTACCTTGATACGGACATTGTTTCCTTAGTTTTACATAGCCGTCTTGGGAAATTTCTAGAGATTTATTTCTAACCAACACTTCAGACATCTCTTTCTCAAGAGCTACGCGTTTCTTAATATCATCTGCTGTTCTTTGCAGTACTTGACTTTTCCATTTAGGCACGTTCTGATCCTTTGGACTTTTGACATCTTCTTCGAAGTCACTGGTTTGTTTATGACTACTACTGGGTGACTTTGCTTCTGACTGTCGACTAGGACACGCGTATCTCTGATTATAACTTTCCACCTCCATTGACATAGGTGATTGACATACCGACATTTTATTTGCTTTTACATGAATTTCTGCGGTCACATTTTGTTGATGACTTTCATGATGTGGATGTACTGGTGGCTTCGAAAATAGTGGTACTGATAACCTGCTTGGACCAGCATCTAATTCATCACTACTTTTAGAATTCTTGATTTGATATCTCCGTCTAGGACTGGGTGACCGTTTGCTATCCAGGATTTCTGTGCTTTTTGAGGTAGCTTTGCTGTCGTTTAGGTCTTTGGCATGACTCTCGTATTGTTCAGAGTCTTTATTAAAACTTTTTATTATCCTATGCACTTTATTCCATTCTGTAGTATCTGCATCCAGCAATTCTAAGCTTCTAGTTCTTTTCAGTGGAGGTATATCTAGGGATCCCTTAGGGCTGAAGTCTAATTTCTTTACTCTTTCCGATTGTCTGAACATCATACCTCGCGTCAACCAATGCTCTAAATGTTTGTGCCTTTCTTTACACAAAGCCCTTTCAGCTGCAACGAATCTAGTGAGCTCTGATATTTGTCCCTGCGTTTTCATTTCTAGGTCTGTTACCTTTTGGTCTAGCCTCTCATGTGCTCTATCAATATGCTTCTTTAAGTCTTTTTTATCTTCATTTAGTTTATCTTCCATGTGTTTGAAGAATGGCGCACAGTAGCAAGTGTAACCTGCGCCTATTGGACCCTTCTTAATATTTCCTGCCAAATCTAGATAATACTGCTCGCCTTTTTTTAGTGGTTCGGTGGGTAACGAGCTTAGTTTTGGCTTCGGAAAAAATTTTGGATCAGGATAGTAGTGACAACCGTATGGCGACCACTGAACTTGTGCCGGAGTCTCAAAGTGCACGTTCTTCTTGATTTTATTTTTATCCTTTTCTTTGCCTTTCTCCTTTTTCTTTCCTTCATCAGGTTCATCTAGAGCTCTATCTTTGCTTTTATCTCTATGCTTCTTTTTAGGTTGCTTCGCAACGGGAGTATTCAAAATGTTAATTATTTCCTCGAGGCCCTTTCTGGTAGCAATGTCTCTGGCTGTTTCACCCTGATGGTTGCGTATGGATTTATCGCATCCGGCCTCGAGGAGTATCCGAGTCAGTTTTCGCCGACCCATAGCCGCGGCAATGTGGAGAGCCGTGTCCCCGTTTTTGTTTTGCTCGGACACCTTGCACTGGGCTGAGATAAGAATACGAGTGACGCCAGCATGACCGTATCGGGCTGCTGTGTGGAGGGAGGTATCGCCGTACTGGAAATCGAAAACATGTACATTTAATGAAATGTGATGCTTATTAATGTATTAAATTGTACTGTAGTATCTAAAATTATTTCAGATTATGCGAGAGTTTCCGATAATTACATTTCTTGAAATCTTAAATAGTAAATCATTTGAATTTCTTTCTATGTTATAATTTAGTACAACATTCAAACAACTAGTATTATAAGTGATTGTGGTTATTACTTTAATAAAAAAAAATCATTTAAAAGCCGCATCTATCTGTTTGAACTCCACATCTATCCGAAATTATTTGAAAGTGTTATATCAGGCTCTGTTAATATTCTTTTATTTCGATTACGGAGCTCGCAGGCCCCTCTTTTCCACTGGGCACGCTGGGCACATGCCTAGGGCCCCTCGATAGATAGAGGCCCCCTAATTCCTACCTACCGACCTAATTCGATAATCGCTATTTATTACCGAAAACCATATTTATTTAGAAAAATCCAGCGAAAATGGCTGATTATAATATCTTTTTGGTTTTCTAACAGAATACTAACCAGTCAAGGTCGTAGGGGCCCCCATTATCCCAATGTGCCCAGGCCCTCCAATAGGCTAAAGACGGCCCTAGGAGCTAGATAACATCATTGGTTTGGACTGTATTTTAGACAATTTTAAAATTGCTTTGCTTAAAGTCTACTCTTTGGTTTAATGTTTAATTAAATTGGATCACTCACACATTGATAAAAGTTAGTTGTCTTATCTGGATAGAAGTTGAGAATTAACAGGTGGACTCACATTGTTCTGCAAATCGGGTGGTGCTCCTGCCAACAGTATCTCCCGGCAGGACTGGTTGTGCCCGTTCTGGCAGGCAAGGTGGAGTGGCGCGAAGCCTGCGGCGTTGCGCGCGCGCAGCTCTGCGCCGGCGCGCGCCAGTAGCGCCACCACACGCGAGTACCCCTTCCACGCCGCTTCGTGTGCTGCTGTGTTGCCGTGCTACGACGTACCAACATAAATTATTATTAGTTTAAGTTTTTTACGTACATATATTAAATGAATATCCTTGCCATTTTTATACTTACCACATTGTCTTGTTTGTTCGGATCAGCACCGTGTTGCAGCAACAGTTGCACCACGTCGATGTGCCCGTCCGCAGCCGCACGCTGCAACGCCGTACATCCATTCTGTAATCAAATGTAGTTATTCTATAATGCTTGTATTTAATCATTTATTTTTTATTTTCCTTCAAATTTGCAATACCTGGCAAAGGACTACTAAGTTGAGACAAATTGTTGCTAAAATAAGATAATTTGTGTACCCTTGGTTGGCAGTACAGAACAGTAAATAAACTAAAAATGCGATGTAAGCGGGGTAGGCACGCCGGAGTTATGAGCAAGCGTGCATAATTCTCTGAAAACATTCATACTCGGGTGTAACTTTCGCCGGGAGCGCAGCATTATAAATTGCGTGTCGAAAGCAAAGCCAAGACTGGAATTTGTCCAAAGGCAACGTATTATATCATTGGTATGTCTATGAACTGTTGTTTTTAAGTAATATTGATAAAACATCACAAAGTATTATCTATACTAATATTATAAAGCTGAAGAGTTTGTTTGTTTGTTTGTTTGTTTGAACGCGCTAATCTCAGGAACTACTGGTCCGATTTGAAAAATTCTTTCAGTGTTAGATAGCCCATTTATCGAGGAAGGCTATAGGCTATATATCATCACGCTAAGACCAATAGGAGCGGAGCACCAATGAAGAATGTTTCAAAAACGGAGAAAATTTATTACTATTGAGAGACGCAGACGAAGTTGCGCGGGTCAGCTAGTGTAATATAAGATAGAAAACCTATATGTGCTAATTTATTAAAATGATGATACATTGCGTATATTTGAGTACTAACTACATTGTAACGACGAGAGCACGCAATGAACTGGATTCTGCAGAAATATTTCAATACATTTTGCACGAAAATATATAGAAAAGTCACAGTTCATATTTGGTTCCGATAGTGACGAGGCCAGACGAGGCCAATCTTATTTTAATTCATTCGACATTGCAATATTTTAGTTATCTATGATTTTCTGTTTAGTACACTGATTTCTTTTTAAATTCTGATATTTGACCGACAGCAAAAAAGAGAAGGTTTTTGTTTGTTGGCATTTTTTTTATGACCTTATTTTGGAGATCTTATTAATCATAGAATTAGTTTTAACGAAAAATGAAAGCCTAACTGATCAACTGAGGTGCGTAAATAGCAATCGGATACTTCTGCAAGTCTTATGCCAGTTAGTAGGTAGTAACATATTTAATTAAATAAGCTTACATCAAATAGGTGAAAACCCATTATCAAATCGTTTATCCGACTTAATAAAGTTCGTTATTGAAAAATACATAAATATTCAAATGCATTTTATTTTGAAAAATTACAATGTACAAAAAGACACAAAACGGTAATAATACAATAAATACATTTTATTTCAATTACATTATTTTATTCTGTTTTATAGTTATTGAATTTATAACATATTTTGTATGCAAGAGTAGTATTATTTTACAATAAAATGTTCATGAATGTGTGTCTGTGCGACGTCAGAGTATCAGTCAAATAAATATTTTCCAAAAATTATTCTCGTATTTTTTTTCGATAAATGGCAAACTATCTTGTGTGTGGTGTCTTACGGAACCGCCTTAGAACAATACGGGTCGCGTGAAACACTACCTTATTTTAAAGGGTTTAAGGTTATAATTAGTAACATTATAAATGGCGTTTAAGATTTATATTCAATAAATCTTGTTGCACGAATTAGCGTAATTTTTTTTATGTATGTATCGTTTCGAACTCTTCTAATTTACCGTAGCTCGCACTTGTAATGTTTATTCACTGTTTTATGGCTGGAAGTAAAGATTGATTTAATTTCAATTATGATGGGATGATCTAAAACTAACTCAGGTTTATATAAAATGCTACGCCGTAAGAAATTACATAAACATCAAAATATAATATTTTCCAAAAAATGATTTGAGCCTCTTCGTTTTAAACAGTTACATTTACAATATTTTTAATTTGAATTGAACTTGCAGGTCATGAGCAGGCCTTAGATTCACCGGTCTTAGGCTTTTAAATATAATTTTTATCATCACCCTTTAGTAAAGGCGCGTGGCGTGTTTAACAAGTGATGACCATGAAAAAATAAAATGAGACCATGAAACCATGAAATGAACATGACATGAAAATGAAAATGAGTAGGTACTCATCAGTAAAAAATAAAATAAAAATGTTTCTGTGACGGATTAAACCCAACTTAGTTTGGTGAAAAAGGCTAGGAACAAAAATATGTGACGGATTAAGAATACAGAGTGTCACCACCCTTATTCATTCCGTGGGTGTCGTAAGACCGGACTAAAGGAGCAAACTACCCAGGACAATAGTCCTGAAAAGAGAAGGTAACCATAATACCCTTTGAAAATGCTCTGAGGTGAAACCGGTCAGGTTTAATACAATAAATATTGTAGAATAGACTTAATTCAGTAGAAAGAAAACTTGACACAAATCCATCTAGCCAGCGTGCTAAAGGTAAAACCTCCTTTCTGAGGAGATGCCTATATCCAGCAGTGGACTATTAAAGGAAGTGGATAAAACAGTAGATAGTAAGTAATAAATTTTATTTTTATTATCGGAACACAATTAAATTTTCAATATCCTCGTTTAGTAAAGTTTTTATGACTGGGTAAAGTAATACCATCTACCGGACAAAATAGTAAATAACTGTGTCTTTTAATGTGTATTCTCGTAGTTTATTATTTACCGACGACCATATAGGGATGGCAGACTCAGAATAAGGCTCTAACAATTTTATTACGGCCATTATGATGTTTAAACTTGTTAATTTTTTCATTAGGAAAAAGAAAAGCGCAAAGTTTTTTTACTTATTCTTTTTTATTTCGAGTTGACTGAGACATGTCATAATATTACTTCGTATACAGATTAGACATTTTATACATGACAATTTTAGAGTAATTTATTAATTAAATTTATTGCTACGCGTTAAAATCTATATAAACGCCATATATTAGCGTTGGGACCGTTCTGCCAAGTCCTTGTAAAGGTCACGTACTCCTTTCTTAAATGTAAATTGGTTTGTGGACATATTAAGATCAACAGGAAGCGCATTCTAGAGTATAACTAAGTGCATAGAAGGAAGAGTTGACGAAGTAGGCGGTTTGAGGGTCCAGTAGCAGAATTGTATTATTTTTTATTAAAATCGAACGGGGGAGCTAAGTGAGCAGATAAGAATGGAGGGTTGAGAATAAACAATAGAATGATTTTGATTATTATTTTTTATGAAATATAGAAATTTTGAGTTTGAGTCTGAATGCTAGAGGATAACAACGCGTTGACGAATTGGGAGCCATTTTAGTTAGAGTCGTACAGCAGATAAAATACCTGCGTAGATTGAAAATTAAACTAAATAGTTAAAATTCTATTTGTCTTAAAAAATTTCATGTCAATGTAATGTAGATTACTACATTACATTGACATGACATTAGTCAATACAATTACGGGATATTCCTGGTTTTATCAAAGGTATGGCAACCCTACTGCTATGTTGGAGTTATTATATTTTTAGACAATAGCTTCAAACTGTGTGCTCGTTAGAATATCCATGAGAAGTGCTCTTAGAAGTTTCTCAGATATAATGGCATTGCTTTTATTTTATTGCACGCTCCGTTCAAGGATCGATTCGTTTAATACGTATAAGTTATGCGGGCACACGTTTCATTTTAACCAACTTTATTCCTTTGTTAAAAGTTGTAGGCTATTGATTTCTTTTTGGTTAAGAAACTCTTTGGTCAACAATAGTGTTGCCTTATTAAAAAAATCATTGGTTGCGCACTAATCAAAGTAAAGCGGCGGTAAGAATCACGGAACCCTCTCATACCGGTTGACGCACGTGATCACCGGGAAAGGATGCTTCGGAGATCACCTGAGTCTGATCCGCAAGGAGCCAACGCCTGAGTGCCACCACTGCGATGGCCGGACCGTGGACACAGCGCTCCATACGCTGGCAGAATGCCAGTGCCAGTGGGTAGAGCAGAGGCGTTGCCTCGTGGCGGCCATCGGAGTGGGAATTCTCTCGGTCGGTAACATGATTGCCGCCATGGTACGGAGCGAGAGTTCGTGGAACTCCGCCGTCTCCTTCTGCGAGCAAGTTATGCTTGCAAAGGAGAATTAGGTATCAGGGTTTTCCTTCCTAGGATACACCTGGTTCCCCGGCAACTAGTACCCGAGACGGCTTACGGTTTTTGGTCGGTTCGAGTCCGACATAACCACCGGTGGGTGGTATCCGAGGGGATGCGACAGAAAAAAAAGGTATGTACTTAATATCTATGGTTCTAGTGAAATAATTTTCGTAAGTCTCACCTAGGCATAACTCAGAATCATAAAAAAATTACAGTATAAAACATTAATTACCCGAGTCGCAGCTTGTCGAGATTTCTTCATAAAGAAATAAGTATTTACTTATAATCATGAATAATTTATAAGTATTAGCCATTGCCTTAGAATCAATACGTTTCTGTACTTTTTGTTGTCAGTTACTGCAGTATAGAAGGGTCGCGAACGGCTGCTATTTTAATTAACAACACATAACCAGTGTGACGAGATCATTATTAAGTAAGGATAATTAACGGCTGGACTCGTAAAGGAAAACAATTTTCTACTTGCTTCATAGACAAGGTGCGTAATTTTTATACGTTACAAAACTGGTCATGGATACTTTTCCCGCTCAATTTATTCCGTTGAGCAGAAAATGGCGCGCTATAACCATAAACAATTAGTGATGTATCGAAATCGACAGAATGTGATACTGTGTGCGAGACGATTAACGGTTAAACTAATTAATTAATGACGCGATTAAATCGATTTATTGAGGCCGTGTTTATATTTAATTGGGGTTGATATATGTTATCGGAAGTAGGTAACTTAGCTAGTTTTTTTGTTTAGAAATAAAGTGACCATGATAAAAAAGTTCATTAAGCAAAATTTGACAGCAGCCCATAAACTGTAATTTTGTGTAGTCTTAATAGCTGTGTAAAATCCAGTATTAGTTCTAAATATTGCCAAAAACAAGATGAGGATTATATCTGAGTTATAATTAGTATTAAAACATAGTTTTAATATTATAAGTGCTAAAGAGGGTTTGTTTGTAGAAAATTAATATTTTCATTACATTATAATATATTTAAGTGTATGTAAGTAGACTATTTTCTGTCACCCTACAATTTAAATATTAAATATATATTATTATTAGTTAGTTTTGCTATTGAAACTATTTATAGAATATATTTAGGTCCTAGATGGTGGCCGCGACTTCGTTTGCGCGAAATTTGAAAAGCGCTGCCTTAGTGAGTTCGATTCCCGAACCAGGTAATAATTTATAGGGTTTTTCAAAAAGAAAAAAAATCCCAAGTTACTCCTTATATAGACAGCTTCTTGGTTGTAAAATATTATCAAAATCGGTCTAGCAGTTTTGAAGATTACCCGAACAAACAGATAGACAGACAAAAAATATTTTTACGCATAGGTTTCGTTTGTGTCCACACATATATTATATGTTTGTAAATTCCCCCGCGACACATTATATACATTCCAAATGTGGGAGTTGTCTTTTAAAAAAATACTGTTCTGCCTCCTCACAAACTATAAAGATTAAAAATAAAGATTTTAAAAAGCCATCAATCTCTGCGTAAATACAATTAATCATTCCAAAGCAATACTTGTATATTACGAAAATGAATTTCCCTCAAATATTTCAAACTATTTAACCTGCTGCTAATGACGAAGAATGTCGATTATAACGTTTGATAAAAAGACCACCAATCTTTACAAATAAATAAAATTGAAGTATCTGTTTATAAACAGCTTTTAATAGTCCACTGTTGGACGTAGGCCTCTCCTTAGAAAGGAGGTTTTGGCCTCACTATACCACGCTGGCCAGACGGGTTTTCCTTTGCACGTTTTCCTTCTCTGTGCAGTGTTGTTGTTCTGCGTAATTTTTCCTTAGTCGGCTCATACGACGCCCACGGGATGAATAGGGGTGGTGACACCCTGTATTCTTAATCCGTCACCACACGGACCAAGTGAAGTGAAGTGTCTGTTTGTTATCTCATAATAATACGTTTTTTTCATGCTTACACGGTTATTTGCACGAAACCTATGCGTAAAAATCAGTTTAAATATTTTTTGTCTGTCTGTCTGTTTGTTCGGGTACCTCCAATACTAATTGTTTTTTTTTAGAGTCTATATTGACCAAACATTAGTGTCAAAAAAAAAGACAGTTTTTATCAAAATTCGAGGAGGTTTTTATGTTTTCAATCATTCTGGCGAGCTACTATTTACAACTACCTATATAAATAAATCATGTTCTTTATTGATTTGCAAAGGCTAACTTTACATAAATTTATTAAAACATTAGTTTAAAACAACTCAGGTAATAAAATCTAGTTCTTTTATAAAATACGACTGAGACGTTTTACGGTCGTATCCTAAATAATTTATGTTCCCTATTCAGATTTGCGTTCTTGATAATTGGATGCTGAATAGCCAAAAGGTAATTCGTTCTTATACTGATTGGCTTCATTTAGTTCAGTCTTACATGGTTAATGTATTTTGTCAAGTGAGTGGTATGGTATGGTAGCAAATAAACATACAACACCATGGGAGAGCTGTGCTTCGGCACGAATGGGCCGGCTCGGCCGGAGTGATACCACGACCTCACAGAAAACTGGTGTTAAGCAATTCTTTCGTTGCCTTTCACTGAGTGAGTGAGGTTACCGGATCCCAAATCGCTCCGCTGACTCGAGCGGGAGGGACTCCAAGGGCAGCAATGCACTTGTGACTATTGAGTTGCAGGTGTCCATGGGCGGCGGTAGTTGCTTACCATCAGGTGATCCGTCTGCTCGTTAGCCCCCTATATCATAAAAAAAAAACAACAGTCGTTATTTTAATCTTTCACATAATGATAAATAAATAATAATAATATATCTTACACACTCACACACGGTCGTCTGATCCCAAACTAGGCAGAGCCTGTACTATGGTAACCAGACTGCTGATAAACATACTTATATATTTCTAAATACATACATCATCATCATCATCATCAACAGCCTTTAACAGTCCACTGCTGGACATAGGCCTCTCCTTAGAAAGGAGGTTTTGGCCTACTATACCACACTGGCCAGACGGGTTGGTATAGGGTTTGTGTCAAGTTTTCCTTCTTTCATCCGTGTGGTGACGGATTAAGAATACAGAGTGTCACCACCCCTATTCATCCCGTGGGTGTCGTAAGAGGCGATTAAGGGAGCGAAATACGCAGGACAACAGCACTGCAGAGAGAAGAAATACATACATATTATAGATAAATTACACCCAGACACAGATTGGTGTAATTGGTGTAGTCTTTAAAATTTTCAATTTATATTCACTGTCATCTCTTCATTAGACTTCGCTTGCGGATCGGGCCATGTGTATGTTGGTCATCGCGGTAAAAAGCAGTCTATGTTACTCGCTGATAATGTGCCTGTGTGTTTCATTGGTGAGAGAATTCTTAAAATCGGTTTAGGAGCATAATATAACTACGGATTTTATCTGTTCTGTTGGCACTTCTGATCACGGTCGTTTGCAAACTACGAACGTGGATTCAACGTAAGTTTAGTAAAGTATCTTTTTTTCTTTTAGTGGACATACGAGGTGGATCACCTGATTGTAAGTACCAACCTACGTTCATGGACAACTCAAGAGTCAGAAGAGAGAGCAGAGCTTTGACAGGCTTCGCCAGAATAAGCTAACGTTAATCGGCAAGAG